AAAAGACATGTACATTTCCGTGAAATTATGAAACGTAAGGTGAGATTGAACATTTGACAGCTCTTGATGGTATCTCTTCTCCTTCACAGTAGGAAGCACTATGTGGCGTCGGAAGCACTTCAAAAGTCTGATGAGCAGGTCATGCGTGAGAGAAGGTGTTGTTAACAAGCTGTACATGAATATCACGTTGTTGCAACAGAAAAAAAATAAATAAGATGTTGCCAAATTAGGCGTTTTCACAAAAATTAGATGTTCAGGTTCGTTTCGTAACATCGGCTTACTACAAGGTAAAAACAGTCGACTTGACTCATTAATTAAAATTTGCTGAAGCAAATTATTTTCCTTGCCTTCAAGTTGTAGATCAGCATGGCGTCTCATGGTCTCCATAAACTGCAAGGAGCATACATTTTCCAAAGGAATTGCATTTACACCCCACTGCAGATCAGTGTTCTCATCCATTTTAGGCGATTTATTGACACGCTCCATGATTTGGTGAACGTACTTTTGTGACACCTTGCCCTCCAATGCCAAGTTGTTCAGCGTAGCAACGGCGTCAGGTCGATGTTGCAGATAGTGATTTTCGTGGGAACATTGGATGGCATTGTAATTATCAAACCGTCGCTCTTCTGTCAGAAAACATATAGAGGCTCCTTGATATGATCCTGAGAGTGGATACATCTTGTAAGAAGATGTTGATGAGTTCTCCGAGAAAGGTAGACAATGGTGAGATGCAAGGACAGCAGGTGCAAATTTATCGGATCCGGGAGAAAACAGTCGACAAAACGGACTTCGTGGGGGATGGATAATGTTCAAATATAGTTTATCTTTGTGACGATGGCAGACAAGAACGGTCAGTTCAAACTGTTGGACAATAACCGATGCTTGAATAGACAGAGAGAAAAAGGTGTCGGGGATTTCGTAATCACTTCTTTTGGCGAGGAAATGTCGTTGTGCATCAGCGTCAAATGATTTGAAAATTGGATATAAAAGTTGCAAGTAATCCTTGAATGAAATTAATGAACACTTTTCAGGAAAGCTCCAACATTCAACAGGGCATTTCACACAAAGGAAAAAATGTTGATTCAACTTCTTCATCATGTCATCTCCCCGCCAAAAGAGTTGGAACGATGTAATATCGTCGATTGCTGCTGTGGCATCTGCAAAAATTGAGGGAACTACTAAAGTCGCCGCCAACATAAAGCATCGATTTTGAAGCGCTGCTAAATGATACCAGGACAGACGTAAGGTATCTGGTAAATGGTTCCAAATAGTAGCCGAGTACTGTTCGTCCATACTGAGAAATTACCATATAACGCTGGGCCAGGCGTATTTGAATAGAGATTTCGAAAGTTGAAACAAGTCGTGCTGTTTATTTTGAAACACGTTACAATGCATGCAGAGCAAAATGCTGATGCTATTGACTGGTTTTGACCCAAAACATCGCCGCTGAACAAACTGCATTGACACGGACGTCAACAAAATTGGAAATTGATGTGTAGAGCAACGGAAATAGCTGTGGCAGTAGTCATCGGTGGCTTTGACGTGGTGGAGGTAGTTGTATCTTCAGTAATAATGCCAGTTGCAACATGTTCAAGTAGCGATGATCGTTCATCATTCATTTGCTCTTCATTGTCGGCAACATGAACAATTGTTCGTCTTGTAAACCTTCCGTTGACACGAGGCATGTCAGTGCACAGTCTACGCTTCCTTCGCGGAGGCATTGGTATTTGACAAAAAAGCACCTGAAAAAGGAAATGAAAGTCAACATTGTATAATAAAGAAAAACGAAGATCATTTTCTGATTGAGGGGGATAGAGTAGAGCAATGAATAGACTTAGGTGTACAACTACTGAGATGGATGGCCGAAACACATTAGTTGTTAGTAATCAAAAACAAGGAATGGAAAGTGAGTGCAAACACAAGTTGACACCCAAAAATGTAGCAAATTTAGCTTGTATGCTGATTTGAACAGCCGCAGTGTGAGTATTTGCCATAATTCCAACAGGCCATTGAACTGTAAGATAAGAAAAAGTAAAAACTTGAAAAGTTAGCTTCCTCATTACTAGAACGAACACGGATATCGAAGTAATTGGAATTAAAAAGAACGTTGAAAACAGATGAAAACGGAAAAAGGAAAACAATCCTTACTGACAGTCATAGGAGAAACTAAGTTGGGCTGACGAGGAAGGTTATTATGTTTGTGAGTATAGCAGAAGTAAAAAGTATTAAACAGTACGTTACAAAAACTCATATGAAACCAGAGAAGTATTTGAGCTATTACATTTGGAAACATTTTTTGAAAAAGTAAAACCGAGGAGTAAATGAAAAAAAACTGTCTTTTTTTCATAGAACGACTTTCCTGATACTTTCCTGCTACCTGGCAGTTGCAATTTCCAATTGCCAGCACCCACAAATAATTTAATTGTTTTTAAACGAGATTTCAAAAAAATTTCAAATCGATCAAAGCAAAAAAATGAAAAAATCAGTTTTATACCTCAATCGGAGGCTCAATTTGCAAACTGTGGTTTATTAATCAAAATTTTTTCCACTCCACTATGGTTGCTGCCTATCCGTTTGGTACAAAATCCAAGACAACAACATTGACCTGTTTCGACACAGAGGCAAAAAAGGGACAAATGGGAATAATTTTCCTCTAATCGTTATCTACCATCCAAATTTCGTACTCACAGCCTTCAGCTTGTAAAATAACCGATCCCAGCGAAGACCGCATGTCTTTATCTTTTTTATTTCAAAAGTTATGACAATTTTAGTTTTTCTTCATATATCACATGAAAAAAAATGATAAAATTTTTTCGTCTCCGCTGGTGCTCGAACCAGCCACCCCACGCCTGGCAGTTCTATGCACATCCTCTAGACCATCAGACCGTTGCTTTAAACGAAAATAAAATGTTCATGGTTTAGCTCAATTACTTCCATTTTTCCCAGAAAAAAGTGGGGTTTCTCCCAGGGAAATGAATGGAAAAAGATTCGGAAAAAAATCGTCTGCTCTACTTCCCGAACAAGTCGCAATGGAAAAAACCCGAGGAAAAAAAAGCGGTACATTTGCGAGATCGCATTTTTTATCCGTCAAATGCATAACGTTAAACGCTCGCGGCTGCTCGCGCGCGCTCGTTTGGAAGGGTGGCGGACAACGCCAACCACCAAGTGTAAGTTTGCATTGTATTAGCTACTCCTATTGTGTATACTCGAAGCATGTTTATCTCGTTGCGGCTGAGCAGTTAAAGTATTTCTGGTTATTTCTTTCCAGAAACTGTTTGTTTCTAAGCCAGAAAAGAAATAGATCAATTCTGCACAAAAAATACGAGAAAACTAGGCTAGATAATCTACATAGATTTTCTATCTAGAAAAACAGCTTCCGTTTGGTACGGGTACTCTCTCCCCCAATAAAACAACAATGAGAATGCTCGTTCCGATTTTGTTTCGCATTTTTCTAGCAATGATGAAACAATGGGAGCATTCGTCTTATTTGTACCTTAGTCGTCTGTTTTGATTTCATCGAATGTTTTTTTTCGAATGTTTCGTTATCGCGGATTGTTTTGAATTTTTGGCGAAGGCAGTTCGGGTAGTAATTTCAAGTTCCGGTGGTCATTGAACCTCGGAAAAGAAACAAGTTTGAAATATTTAACCAGTTTTTGCTGAAAAAATTCGTTTTGTGATGCGTTTTATTTTGAATCAAACGCCGAAAATTAGCAGGTTACTTGCGCGTAACAAGCCCGTCACTAGTGAATGTATTTTTACAGGCTTAAAAATTTTATTTTGGATATGAAATATATTTCTGAAATGGGCTGTGAACTAAAAAACTACGCTTGAAGTTTTTAAGAATGGGCTATTTTAAATCTACGCTCAGATCTGATATAAAAATTCTTAAATGTTTTTCAAATCTAAAAAAAGTCTAAAAAAAAGTTTTTGAGTTAATTTTTTGACTTGATATTTTTTTTCCTTGTTTATTTCAGATCTGAAGTACTCATAATGCTGACACGATATTGTTTTTTTTTGGGTTTTTAAGTACTTAATATTTTTCCATCTGAAACGGCTGTAAAAACTTTTGAACAAGTGAACAATCTTCCCCCTAAATGATTTAGTGGGGAGAGAGAGTTCACGTGGTTAAAAGAAATAACTTTCAGTCAATCAGATTTGAGCATAGAACATGCAGACTTTACGTCTTGACTTTGCCGTTTAATTTTAGAGTGGAGATTATTCACATGGGCCAATATTTTTATAGAGATCAGAAGAGTTTCAGGAATTGAACGATTGCATGTGAAAAACAAGGTTTGATAACTTCCTGAGTGATTTTAAAAAAAACTCAAAATCGTTGGACTAGAAGTTATATAGTGTCTAAAAACAATTGAATTATATAAAAAGCAATTACTTCGAAAATTCAAATGTTTTCTTGGAATCTGTATATCAGACCCATTTAGTATGGAATGTAAAATTAATTTTGGAATTTTTTCTGAATGGGTCATTTCAGATCTGAAATTATGTTTTTATGTGTTTTTTTTTCAGATCTGACGATATCTATTTCAGATGGGAAAAAAATTAAGATTTGACATAAAACATACGTCAGAAGTATTGAACTGAGATCTTTTTTAAACAATTTATTGGATATAAGCCGTTAGATCAGAAAACATTAAAATTTGGTCAGAAAAAAGTAGCTTGCATAAATTAGTTGACCAAGGAGTCCGGTTAATTGGGGTTTGCACTCAATCAAAAATAACATTGGTTTTGACCTCAATTGTTTAAATGCAACTTATACCGGATTTTTAGAGCTTTTCGGGTAGAGTTCAATCGAGTAAATTAGGTGCGAAAGTTTTTGAAGGATTTACTTCGAGAAGAAGATTCGTCAACATAAGCTTCGAAAACGCAACCTGTAAATTGTTCCAAGTAAACTAACAATCAAAAAATTTTGTCCAATTTGAAACTACAATAAGTCTTAGTTTGTTTTGAGATATTTGGGTTAGTTATTTTGTCTATTCGTGTATTTAATGACTCAATTCAGTATGATGATACAAACAACATTGTACTAGTGATCAATTTCCAACCATGCAAGACTCTCCATTGCGAATTTACTCTCAGTTGCAAACTAAATTATCAGCACACCATTGGATTAACTTTTCACTCACATTTTTCAGGTATGTTGAAAACGAAAAAGTTAAATCATAAGAAATTTTAAGTTAAAGTTAAGTTAATTGATCTTAAAAAAAAACGAGCAATTGTTCGGACAGAGATCCGTGTCTTATGTCGGGACTTGTAATGACTGTGATCCTCTCGCGACCAAAAGCTTCCGCTCGCGCTGAACTTAATTTTGTACAGAGCCGCAATATAAATCTCGCAAAACCGATTCATAGTTTCGTATGAAAGGCGCTACGTTTCGCAACGCAATAATTTCCAAACAAAATTCAAAAAAATATATAAGTCGTGCAAGTTCGCGACATATATCTTTTCGGTTTCGACAGCCGCGACATCACCCTCATTGAATAGCGACGGTCGCTACATAAATTGCGTATCTCGGCCAGGGTGACCTAATTAGAAAAACTATGCGGACGAAAACTAATTTGTTAGACAATTTGGATGTCTCAAAGTTCTCTGGCTGGCAAAAATACTTACCATACTGTTTCTTACTATGGAAAATTGATTATTATACAATTTTAAAACGTTTCCAAAAAAGTGGCATGAAAACTTTTTTCTATACTCAATTAATTTGCTCAAGTTTTGGGAACTGTAAACTCATTAAACTTTATGTTCTGTGTCGTTTTATGTTTTTTGATATTGGTTTTTTTTTGCAAACCATTTTGTTTTGAAATTGATAAGAATATGAATTTTTTTCTGCGCAAAAACTACAAACAAATGGTATCATCGCTTTCCTGGTAAAAAATAAAATTAAAAATGAGAAGCATTTTACACTTTTACAAAGAGGCCTATAACTTTCGGCCAACTTGGAGGTTTATTGACCACGAAATTCAAAATTCTCAAGTTTTTCACCAAGTTTTTTTACTATACTTTTACAGATTTTTTATATTTTGACGACAAAACACATTTCTGAAATTTTGAGTTTTTATGGAAAATGCTATTTATACTTTTGTTATCTATACATTTTGCATGATACGCGTTTTTTAATTTAAATAAAGAAATCATTTTTTGGTGACCAGAAAGCTTCAACGTTGTTAACTAGACACAACTTTTTATTCAGTCCTTAAAAAATTCTCAAAGTTTTTTGTTGTTTGGAAAAATCCTGGGTTGCTGTAAGCTCATTAAACTTTTTATTCTGTGACTTCTTATGTTTTTTGATTTTGGTTTATTTTTCTTTGCAACCATTTTATTTTGAAATTGAAATCAATATGAAAAATTTTTTTCTGCGCAAAAACTATAAATAAATGGTATCATCGCTTACCCTGGTAAAAATTAAAATTTAAATGAGAAGCATTTAACACTTACAGATAATCATTGATAGACTATAACATATTTGAAGGTATATTGACAAAGAAATTCAAAATCATTAACAGTGATTTGTTGCTTGAAAAATCAAATTTGCTTTCAAAATTACTTCAAACTGGCTGACAGATCTTCTTACTTTATTCTATTTATCTATATTTTTTGCAACTTTCTGTATCTATTTTTCTATTTCTACTCGGAGTTAATTTTTTTGGGCTTTGAAAAAGCTCTAAGACGCATATTTTTCTACTTAAAAAAAAGGAGAGAACACCGAGTTCAAAAATTTTATAATAATTAACTCATAATGTCTCTTTCCTTTAAAGTAAAAGTTGAAACAAGCACAATAATTGTTCTAGTTGCCCTTCTTCAGTTGCGTTAAATTATTGTCCCGACCATTAAAAACGTGGAAAAACTTTGTATTTGGGTGTGTTTTAATTTTTTATGTTTTGTTCATGCAAAATCAGATACTACAATTATTCATGGGATTCTTCAATCTGAATTGGAACGCCGAAGAGAAGTTTTTTAAGGTGTCAAAAAAAACTGGATTGAAACTTTTGAGATTTAGTCTAATTTCGAGCAAGTAACCCGATCAAGCAACGTTTGTTAGATGAAAATTGGACATTAAGTTTCAAAACAATAGTTTTTTTTGGAAGCGGAAATCTTGAATTATAACTTCTTTTAGCGCTTCCTTGGCTATAAAAGTTTTCTTTAGGAACAAAAAAATTTTGTGCAAAAATACTGGCACATTTTTTATAAATTCATTTTTTGCCAATGTTCACGATTATCTTTTTTATGATTCTGGCCGCAACATTCTGTGCTACTTGTAGAGCAACCGGCTATCCTTGTTTTTTTTTTAATTCCACTTAAAATCAGTTCCCACAAATAATCAACGTAATTGCTCAAGTAATATACCATAATGCATTTTTTCAGTCGTAGTTCGAACGACATTAAAAATTATCAAAAAACTTCCCAAGTGTCGACAAAACAACTGTTAAAATTTGTGAGGTTTTGTGTAATTTTGTGCTAATAAAACAAAAATAATAGACATAAAATAGGTCTTAAAAAGTTACACATAAGTTAAGTTGTAAAAAGTTAGTTTTCATTCAGTAAAGTTAGTTTTCGAAAAATTTTTAGCGCTATTTTGGGAACAAAAGTTCTGCCAAAAGTTTTTAAAAAGTTTTGGAAAATTTTGTCGATTTCATTTTATTTTGCTTTAATGTTTCTATATCTTCCCTGAGCAAAGTTTTGTAAGTTTGGCATTTTTCTGAACTTTTCTGGATTATTTTTCTCGACCATTTTTTAAAATAGTGTTGCGGCCGTGACCTCGGTGTGGAAGACGTTGGCCAATGTGAAGCCCTCTCTGGTGGAAGAATGGACCCAACTGCCCCAGGACAACATCAGACCCTCTAGTGTTAGTGCACATGTACATTAGACAGCTACAGTTATGAGACAGACAAGATGCTACTATTTATTTTGAAGCCGGAATTTTTTTTTTTCACCTATTTTTAGAGACAGTTTATCGTGAATTACGTAAGTTCTGACACATTGCCGACAAAACTGTTTTATGAAAATCTCACTGTACAAAAACTAGATATAGTTGGTTAATATATTCAATAGACAATAAATCATGGAACGAACAAATTGTATTTTTTTTTGTTTTCAAGGCGGTGAATGCTAATATTCAGATATGGTTCCAAATCAGCATCTCTCCCGATCGGTATTTTGCTGGCAACAAATTTTCAATTTCTTACCATCATACTGAGATAGGGACCAGTTTTAAGTTTATGTAAATGCCATCAATTGTTTTCTTTCTGTCTAGAGACCTGCTCCTTTGACCTTGTGATTTCTAACGTCTGTTCCGATCTGAAATACAACAGTGCAGTAAGATTTCGATTTAATGCTTTACAGTTGGACTAAAATAATACAACTTATTTATTATCTTTTCATACTACAAACATCTGACTTTAACATGGCGCAGCCAGCAGAGAAAAAAGGAGGGGGGAAAAATCCATTGAACATTGTAGCCTTTTGGGAAGTACGAACACCAGAACCTCCGGTCTATTGGGAAGAGTGGATAGTCAAGTTTCACTGGGGGATGATCGCAAAGTACGATATTGATCCCGATGACTTCTATTTTGCGGACACTCTAAATGCGGCGGCCGTCGGTGCGTTGCCTGAAGAAGTAAATGGGAAAAACCGTCTCGATTCAGAAAAGAAGTTAAAGTCTAATCTATATCTATGTATCGGGGACGAGGCGCAAAGAATATTCAAAGCTCGGAAACCGACGGTTAACATCAAAACTGCACGGTACCCACGGGTTCTAGATGAGATGCAAAACGTGTTTCAAAGAGAGAGGAATGTAACACATGAACGGGGTCTTTTCTACGGAAGGAAACAGCGTGAGAACGAAACGTTCGAAAAGTTCCATGCGGAACTAAGCGCCCTAGCAGGTAGATGTGACTTTGCAAATGCGGCCGAAAATGTTCGTGACATTTTCATTATGAACATGCGGGAGTCTGATTGCCAACGAGAGTTATCACGATCAACAAAATTACCTGAAGAAGTCTACAGGATCGCATTGTCATACGAACGCGGGGAGCGCGCATACAAATCGTATACGGGACGACCAGCTTCAACAGCTCCGGCTATCACAATAAAACAAGAACCGGTGAGTAACATAAGGAGGGGACAAGGATTTTTTCGAAGTCGCGGACGCGGGGGACGTGGAGGATACACCCAAGGACCGAGTAGTAGTGGCGGAAGCGGAAATAATCTTAGGTGTTACAATTGCGACGCACCAAATTTTACCCTGGAGCATATTGCGAGCTGTCCTGCAAGAGGAGCAACATGTAATTCATGCCGAAAATTAGGTCACTTTGAACGAACATGCCGAGGAGTTAGAAGAGGTACTAACCATTGGAGGGGACGAGGACGAGTCGGACTGGTTAGGGAGGAGAGTGAGCATCACCAAAGTACACAAAACGTAACTGATTTGAACGAAGATCCAGTGTCGTGGGTCAATCAGCAGGGGTGCGGGGAAAACGAATCCATGACGTCGGGATCGGACGATTACATGGTAATGTCAATACACAGGAAGAGGAATGAATCCGAACTGAAGCTCCCTGGGGCCCGCGTGCAAGTTGAAGTAGCAGGGAAGAAAATGTGGTTGTGGATCGATAGTGGATCCCCAGTAACCATTTTTAGCATTAACGACCTAAAAGCAACGTTGGGAAAGGCAAATATCCAACTAAAACCGTCACAAGACGAATTCCTGGATTATAACAACAATCGAATAAACATACTGGGGAAGATAACAGTGATGATGTCATTAAACGGCTGGGCGGCACCAGCACAAGTGTCGGTTATATCCGGGAACCATCAGTCCATCCTGGGGCGGGATCTTATGGGCACCCTGGGTCTCGAGTTAGTTCAACGGAAGAAAGTGATGGGAATCACAGGGGAAGGGATCAGTCAAGAGGAGGAGAAATATGACGAATTGCATACATACTTCTGTAAGTTGTACCCAAATTTGTTTACTAGGATAGGGAAAATCCGGAATGCAAAAGTAAGAGCCGAATTTTTTGACAATTTGAGACCCATACAGCAAAAAGGACGCAGGGTGCCGATTAGTCTGCAAGATAAGGTGGATAAAGAAATCCATCGGCTAATAAATGAAGGGCATATCGTAAAATTGCAAGAATGCTCAGATAAGTATTTCGTCTCTCCCATCGTAATTACAGTAAAAAAAAGATGGAAGTATAAAAATAGCACTGGAGTCAAGAGAGTTAAACAAGCAGGTACATAAAAATAAGTACCAAATGCCAAATATTGACGAATTAATAGACGGAGTAAGCCAGATAATTGCGGAGAAAAAAGCGGGGAATGTATATTTTACAACATTGGATTTCACATATGCGTATGGACAAGTCGCTTTAGAACAAAAAACGAGCGAACAATGCAATTTCTCGCTTGTTGGGGGGAAATCCACAGGAACTTATCGTTTTAAAAATGGATTTTACGGGTTGACATCAATGCCGGCGGAATTCCAAAAAAGTAATTGATAATTTGCTTAAAGAGTTCCCTCAAGCTAACGCGTTCATCGATGATATTTTAATTTCTTCGAAAGGAACGAAGATCGAACACATCGCATTGGTCGAGAAGATATTGAAAAAGCTGGATATTTCTAATGTTGCTTTAAAGTTGCAGAAATGCGAATTTGCGAAAACAGAGTGCGAGTGGCTCGGATTTCGAATTGGGGAAAGTGGTATTACACCCTTAGTAAAGAAAACACAAGCAATTGAAGACCTGAAAACCCCCAAATCACGAAAGCAGTTGAAATCACTGATGGGTTCACTTCACAGTTTACACAAATTTTTACCCAAACTCGCAGAATTAAGTGCACCGCTAAGACCACTACTAAGCCAAAACAACGATTTTGTTTGGACTAATGTTTGCGAAAATGCATTCCAACATTTAAAATCGCTAGTGAAAAACATCGTCGAGTTACGACATTTCGACATTCACCGGGAGACTAGAATTATTTGTGACGCTAGTCACGATGGTTTGGGGGCCGTATTAGAACAGTATGGGGCCTCAGGGTGGCATCCCATTTCGTTTGCATCGCGTTACCTAAACCCTGCGGAGAAAAAATACTCCACGAACGAATTAGAATTACTTGCGGTAGTGTGGGCTACGGAGCATTTTCGAAATTACATATATGGCCGTTATTTCACAGTTATTTCGGACCATAAGGCTCTGCTAACGTTATTGAATTCATCTCCGAAAGGAAATAAAACGTTTTTCAGCCGACTAACGCGGTGGTACGATCGTTTAGTGCCGTACGATTTTAAAGTTGAACACAGACAGGGGTCAAAAATGGGAATGGCAGATTACTTGTCCCGATTTCCATCTGCAGCGGCACCCGAGACCAGTCGTTACGATGAAAGCTTTGTAGTAGCGAAAATAAAAATGATAAATGAAGCACTAAATCCTAAGGCTCAAATGAAGCCTAGGGGTCAAAACGTGAAATATCTAAAGCCAATACCGGCGGTAGAGGGCGATCAGTCATGCCTTGACATAACGACATTTGTAGCATCCAATGAGAATTCAAGAACAAGTGATTATGCTAATACTCACAGTGAGAGTACACGCTCACTAGAGGGCGTGTTTTCATGCAACCGACGGTTGACCAATCAGATTGAAGAGATTTGCATACCGGCGGAAATATGCAAATATCAAAGAAGAAAATTCAGACATCGTTCTCGCTACGCAATTTCAAGTCGCAAATTACAAGATATGAATAACATGAATAGTAAAAACTCAGTAAATTCACCTGACAAACAAGATCAAATTACTTCTGCTATTGTAAATACCTCGACAAACTCTGGAGACGTTAATCTTAACCTTGTACTTAATCGTTTAAATCAGCCCCCCAGTCTCAGTTCTGTCAGTTCGGACTCGGATATTGAGATAATACCGCCCGAAATTATCGATAGAAAACAAGTTAATTCGAAGAAAACCAACACAATTATCTCATTCCCTCATCAATTCCCAGGGTTATCCTACCCAGTAGTCCAGAACGACAAATGGGTGTACTCCATAATACCGTCGGACAGTAAAGTTGTCCGAAAATTGGAACACCCGGAAATCTTGAGTCTAAAGTTAGTCGAGGCTAATCTGGAGAAGGACCCCATCATGAAGACCATACGTGACGCAATCAAAGACAGAAACCCAGGAGCCCGAGAAATCATCACTAAACTTGGACCATATTACGCTCAACACTACAATGACTTCGCGGTACGGGACAACTGTTTGTGGATGGACGGCCGATTAGCTATACCCAAGGACATGTCTTCCGCAGTTCTCAACAGACTACACTTTCAACACCATGGTCGGGATAAAATGTTCGCGGCCGCAAAGGATGTGTGGATCCCTTTGATGCATCGAAATATTGCCGCAACGGCAAAGTACTGCAAATGCTGCGTAGAAGCAGGTAAAAATCTAAAACCAGACATCCCAAAAAGTGATATTGGGGTAACTTATGTACCTAAAGAACCTAACGACTTGGTTCAATTAGATTTCTGGGGCCCAGTCAATTATGTAAAGGGTAGAAAGAAATATGTACTCGTAGCAGTAGATACTTTTTCGCACTGGCCGTCAGCATATATATGCTCAAGTAATAAATCTAAAAATGTCCTAAAGTTCCTAAGGAAGTACATCAACACTCACGGACACCCAAGGAAGTTGCATATGGATCAGGCAACGGGGTTTTTCTCGAATGAAATTCAAAGTTTCTGTAACTATGAAGGCATTGAACTAATAAAATCTCCGGTTAAGGACCATCGCGCAACGGGAATGGTCGAAAGAACAATTGGGTCGATAAAAAATTACGTGCTCACTTATCTTCAGGAAAATAAAAGTTACAAATTTGGGGAAATGATATCTCGAGCGCTCAGCGCTTTACGTTTTGTGCCACATTCTAAGACTAAATTAACACCCTTTGAAGCATATCATGGAAGAGAAGCAAATACGGCGTTTCGAAACTTAACAAAGACACCATCTTTGAAAAATCTAAATTGGAATAAGGTTGTTAATCAGAAGCTATCTTGTTTAGACAAGGCAAACAATCTCCCTGAGGTGGAGCTGACCCTGGATTGGGAAAAGAGAAGCGACCTAGTATATGCACCTGAGCAAAGAAAAACCCCAAGGATTTTGGATGATAATGAGATAACTGACAGGGATCCCAAGGCCACTGAGATGGCTGATAAAGTTTCAAAACATTCAGGAGGGAAAAAACGGCCCAAGGCTAGCTCAACAACAGTCTACCAGAAAACGGGGAAAACAGACCCCAAGGATCCAAGAAGGTATAAACGTTTACCATTGAAAATCGATAAGTTAACTGACCATACGGTGAAAATGGAAAAAGGGGCGTTATTAAGACGAAGTGGTGTTTCTTTTAGAACAGCGGCTGAGGAAAGCCAAATCAAGGAGTTCTACGAAGCGTGCACCCCGGGTCCGAGCAAGTACCGGAAATACACCCCGAGTTTACGTGATATCGAAAAGAGCACCCCGGGTCCAAGTGAATCCGCTGGAAGCATCCCGGGTCCAAGTGTACCGACGAAACTCAAACGGAAAGCGGAAAAGGATCAACTTGCAATGGGACAGGCGAAAAAGGCGGCAAACCCGAGGATTGTAGAATATAGCGAGGACGAGAGTGAAGAGAATGACATGAGCGATTGGACAGTCGAGGAGGACGATGCGGACAAAACGGCGGCGAGTAAAAACGTAATCGAACCGTCGGATACAGTTGAACCGTCGGATACAGTGGCTACGCGAACGCCAAAGACCGTCGAAGGAAGTCGGAAGAAAAACGCAGAGGGGACAAGAAAATCAACGCGACAGCGACGTGGTGTTGATAAGATGGGGGGTGTTATGATTCATCGTATCCAAAACAAGTAACATAACGCAGACCGAAAAGAAAAGAAAACCTAAACGAGAGGTTTGGCAGGTGGGCCTAAAAACTCTAGTTAAACTGTTTGCCGAAAAACTCAAAGAAAACTGACATTGATCTGTAACATGAATTGGCAAGGATAACATTACAAGTTGATAAATTTTATACAAGTTAAAATTTATTTGTGGTTGCCCGAATGAGATAGGGACCAGTTTTAAGTTTATGTAAATGCCATCAATTGTTTTCTTTCTGTCTAGAGACCTGCTCCTTTGACCTTGTGATTTCTAACGTCTGTTCCGATCTGAAATACAACAGTGCAGTAAGATTTCGATTTAATGCTTTACAGTTGGACTAAAATAATACAACTTATTTATTATCTTTTCATACTACAAACATCTGACTTTAACAATACCATGGTGTTTATGGAGCAAACTTTTTCTACACCTTTTATTTTTAAGTTTTCAGCCAAATTTTGAGCTTCATCTGAGTAAATTTTCTGAGACATCCTGTAACTGGTATATCACGGCAAAGAACAGAATCCGTTTAGGTAAACTTTTTCAAATGAAGGACGAAATTTTTTTTTCGGACTTTTTTTTAAATATTTTTGTTTTATAACCAATATTTTATATTTTATAATCAGTGATTAATATTTAGACTTGGTACTCTTACGGCTACTTCTATGGGTCTGACAGTGCCAACCTGTTCCTCGGAGGACTCGACTCGTCCTTCCTCTTTCTCAACACCCTAGGACTGTTCCTGATTGGACCACTGGGAGACAAGTGGGTTACTAAGATAACAAATTACGGTTATATTAAAAAAGGGTTATTATAACTGAATGGGTAATATTAAAAAGTGACTTCTTGTAGTTTGTTACTGTCAAGAGTGCCTTGTTGGAAGTAAAGAGCATCAAGTTTGCACAGATTCGCGACTGATCATGAGTTTCGTTCTCCCCTAGTAGCGGAATTAGGATGGAGGCGGGGGGGGGGGGGGGTTTGGTTTGCAGTTGTTTGGGAGTTGACTCTTTTCGTGTTCAACCCCCTGACCAGCTAAAGGCGCTAAAACAAACTTTTTATAAGGGGGAGTGCTTCTGGTCAAAGCTTCCAAAAAAGGCCTGAAAAGGTACAATTTGGAGTTTTTTTTTCTCAAAAATTTGCCTGAGGTGCAGAAAACTTTGTTAAAAACGGGTCTGTATAGTCATTTGAGGAGAGAGCTCGGAAGATCAATTTGGTCGCCCAAAAATTTTTGAAAATCCCATCATGCCCATACCCCTTCGATATGATCCCAGATAACGAGTTCAGATATGATCACGTATCTATCTATTTAGGTAAATTTGATGCGCTCTTAACGACATTTACTTACTTTCTTCATGTGTGCACTATTTCTTGTTATGATGATTGAAGACTACCGTATACGCTATGCCATCAAGTATTAGGGCAATATTCAATGGTTGATTAGGGGTGTATTTAAAAAGAAGGAATGTATTTAAAAAGTGTTTTATGGGAATTGAAACTTTACATCGGAATTAATATCAAATTGCTAACATTTTTTTTGAATTTCGATATGTTGACTTATAGTTTTTGTAATTTGGTATTTCAGGCTGAAGTCGTATCGAAAGTGGATGCTGGTCGCAGCTATGGCTTCATCAGTAGTTTTCGTAAGTCAAAGTCCAAACCAGGGACAATTTCTTCAAGAAGAGGGGGATGGGGAGGGGTTATTTTATCAGTTTTTTTTCATAGATAACCACTAGTGATGCAATCTGGGTGATTTATGAGAAGTTTCAAATTTTTAAGCATTCAATTTGAATTACTTTTAAAAATATTTTTTTTAAAATGTTATTACAGAGCATATATTTTGATGCAATTTTTTTTCACTGCCTCAGATGCCAAAAACTCTCTCAAAAAGTTGCGGTTAATCGATCAAACTCTCACAAACTTCTTAAGACTTCGTCTAGTTTTGTCTAATTCTCACAAAATGCGTTAAGAATTTGTGATTATTATTCAAAAATCTTGTAAATTTTTTTAAAATGAAAGTTCTTTGATACCTTATTTTAATGCAATTTTACCTGCTTTCTCTTCAGACGTGTCTGTTTGGAACACTGCCGGACCAGCTCTCCTTCTTCAACCCAGTGTACATGGTGTGTCTGTGGGCCATTAATGGACTAGCACAGTCCCCTGTCATCCCCCTCACTATGGCCATGCAGGCTAACTGGTTCGGAAAACACAGGTGAGTTTGTCCCGATTCGTTCCCAGGTTATGAGTCACGGTTGATAGCTTTAAATCCCAGAGGTGGTGTTCGCGCGAGTCGCCGTTTTGCATTGAGAACCGGCTCTAATTTTGGAATCTAGTCCTGCTCTGTGATGGAAAGCTCGCAACACTAATTTGCTGTTTATGTTTACTCTTTGCGCATTTTTTTTAAATTTAGATTTATGAAGCAAATTTATAGTTCCGACTACCACCCTAGGGATGAAAATGATTTAGGAAGTCAGATCTTGTTTTTGTTGGTCGACTTTGACTACCTTAAAAACGGTCGTACGAAGTTAGAGTGGGGGGGGGGTAGGGATTAGAACTTTTTCCGTCTTCCGGGTTAAGAATATATGATAGGAGGAATATACAAAAATAGCTTCTTAAAAAGCTGCGTCTCAAGTATAATTTATATTATTTTTATAACCTATCTACTAATTTACAACTGAGTTTCAGGAGGGGAATGGTGTTTGGTATCTGGAGTACTAATCTGTCAGTGGGAAACATTATGAGCAACTTAATGGTAAGAATTTAATGAAACGGCAAACAAAAATATTTTATCAAAATATGGACTCTTTTGTCTTCTTTAACTATTTTTGGACCTATTTAACAAGTCCCTTTTTTTATAAAAAAAAGGGAGACTTTAAAGTAGATTTATTAGATGCAATCAGAATGCAGCAAAGTTAAATGCTCAATAGACAGCTCTTGTGCTCATTCACTGTTTTTACCTCGCGGGTGTTGTGATTCAGTATTTTTAGTATGTTATAACCTTGACCTCTATTATCTAATTACGTACCAGTCAATGTTAACTCTACGAAGTCCAGTGGACTTCGGTTCACTAGTTGCTCTTTTTAGACTACAGTCAGTTTTAATTCAACCAATACTTTTATTCTCTTTTAACCTTAGTTAGATACAATAGTTACCAGTGGTACATCTTAAATCTTTATCATGGCGCAGTCAACAACTGATTCGAACCTGAGGGGAATACCCGCCTTTTGGCCGAACCACACGGTAGAACCTCCCACCCAATGGAACAATTGGATAGACCAATTCCATTTGGCTATTATCGCGAAGGAAAATTTAGACATAGATAACCTCAAAGAACCAATGGAAGGGGAGACGACGTTACCGATCCTAGAAGGCGCCCAGGAGTCAGAAACTGACCAACAGAGGAAAGCCAGGGAGGCCAGGAACAAAGAAACAATGCGAGTCTACGAACACGCTGAAGAGAAAAGACTAGCAGAAGAAAAACGGAAATTCGGAGGAATGAGAAGATATGAGGCCGATAAAAAAGTAAGGTCAATCCTATACTTGGCCTTAGGAGCCGAAGGCAAAAGACTTTTCGCCCAGAAACATCCAAGGGTAAAAGTCCTAGGAACCTCATTCAAGGAATTTTATGAAATGCTAGAATTGGCTTTTATCAAACCAACCAACATAACATTTGAACGATATAAATTATTGAGCAGGAAACAAAAGGATAGAGAATCCTATGAACAATTTTGGGGCGCGTTATCAGATTTAGCAAGATCATGTGAAATTGGAATTAATGCAGAACAGGAGTGGATCAGAGACGTATTTATTTTTACAATGAAAAACTGCGACTTACAACGTAGACTACTTTCGGAAACTCTCAATCCATTGGATGCACTAAGCCAAGCAATAATTGACGAAAAAGGCTACTATAACCACCTCAAATTAACCAATATGACTAGATCTTTCAACACGACAGGAAATAGTGGGAGAGGGTATAAAAACTTCAACAACGTAAAAAAGGAACCAAGCTTGAACATAGAAAGATCAAATACTTGTATGAAATGCGGGAATGCGTTTACCAAGGGTCATCTGAGTGTGTGTCCGGCGAAAGAAATTGTGTGTAATATTTGTAAATATAAAGGACATTTCGGAAGACTTTGTAAATCGAAAGGAAGAAAACCCGCTGTAAATATTGTAGATGAAGCTGTAAATAGTCAGAATTGTTCATATTCCCCAGAAGACCTTCAGGTGAGAAGCGAAGAAAATTTTTGCGGAGTTATTAACGCTTGGACCGAAGAGGGGATAAGTGATAACGATGACTATTCCGTTCTCAACATTAGACCAATCTACGATACCAATGGTTTGGAAACCAAGAAACTCGTCAACATCGGTTTGGGAGACGATGCAATAGTCAACTTGAACATTCCAGTGGATTCGGCAAGCCCAGTGAGCTTCCTGAAACAAAATGTATTTCACGAATTGAAGTTGAGAAACCCACAGTTGAAGATACAGCCAGTTGAGAAGAAAACGAGGGAACTATATTGCGGATTCACCAACGACACAATCAACACCATCGGGAAAGTGGTAGTGAGATTACAATCCAATCGATGGATCGCGGACGAAACCCCATTTTTTATCACTTCTGGACATGAGAGGAACATCCTGGGAAACGACAATCTCCCGAGAATTGGATTAGAGATAGCCCAACGACAGCCTCTACTACCCGTCGACAACATATCACGCCCAGAGTTGTGTAAGTTATATAACTATTCAGACACGACCCTTAATCTGTATCATAAGTACAAAGGGTTATTTAACAGATTGGGAAAAATACCATTGGACAGAAAAAATACTCATTTTCACTCCCCAGTCAAACCTATCCAAACCAAAGGTAGAAGAGTTCCCCTACATCTACTCAATAACGTAAAAACGGAACTAAATAGAATGGAACAAGAGGGGCATTTCATAAAATTAAACAAATGCGATGAAGATTGTTTTATAAGTCCAATAGTGATTACAAGAAAAAAAGACGGTAGCATCAAGTTGGCATTAGATTCGAAACTATTAAATAATCAGATATTCAAGAACAAGAACCAGATGCCAAACATACATGAAGTGATCGATAATATTGCACTCCAACTGTCAAGCAAAGAGTCAGGGGAAGTTTGGTTTAGTAGTCTAGATCTAATGAACGCGTACAGCCAACTACAATTATGCACAGACACTAGCAAACAGTGTAATTTTAGTATCGTGGGGGGCGAAACCACTGGAACCTATAGGTTTTTAACTGGATTTTACGGATTGGGCGATATGCCAAACGAATTCCAGAAGGTGTTGGATTCCTTATTGAAAGACATTCCTTTTACTAATTGTTATATTGACGACATTTTAATAGCTTCGAAAGGTTCACTAAATGAACACAAAGCGATACTAACAAACATTTTAAACATTTTGGACAACAAGAATATGGCGGTAAAATGGGAGAAATGTGCTTTCTTCCATAAAAAAATAGAGTGGCTAGGTTTCAAGATATCAAACTCGGGCGTAAAACTATTGGTGGGAAAGTCAGATTCGATCAAAAACCTACCAAACCCAAAAATATATCTGAACTTAGGTCTTTCTTTGGGTCGATCAATCAGTAAATGAAATTCGTCCCGAATTTGTCTGCTCTAAGTTCTCCCCTACGACCACTTCTCGTGAAGAAATCAGTCTACCAATGGAATGACGAACATACTAAAGCATTTGAAGAATTAAAACAACAGATAGTGAACATAACAGAGAATAATCATTTCGACATAAAAAGGATGTCAAGACTGAAGACAGACGCTTCTCATAACGGCTTAGGAGCTACCTTAGAACAATGGGATGGAGAAAATTGGATGACAATAGCATTCGCTTCTCAATTTTTAAACAACCACGAAAGTAAATATTCGACAAACGAACTTGAAATTTTGGGAGTAGTCAGGGCTACAGAACACTTCAAAAATTACTTGTATGGTGCTGAATTTGAAATTGTGACGGACCATAAGGCATTCTTATCAGCATTAAATGCAAATCAGAGCAACAAAATTATGCATAGCAGCTTAAGCCGTTGGGTAAATCGACTGTTACCATTTAATTTCAAGATCAAGCACATTCCGGGAAAAGAAATGGGAATTACAGATTTATTATCGAGACTACCTTCAGGAAAAGCACTCCCTACACCACACTATGATAGCGAATTTGTAGTGGCTACAGTACAAAAGATTGAAGAAAACCTCTCTGTAAATAACGATTGTAAAAAGAATAATTGTAAAAAGAACGAAGTGTATAATCCATTGGATGTAAATACGATCAGTAACTTGGATTGTAATAATCCAATGGGCGGAAAGAAAGATTTATCGCAAAGCATCCAACGGTCGTTCTTCTCGAATATTCTGAACTACGTAAACGACACTATCAGAATTTGTAATTCCAGTCACTCGCGTTCAGAGTCTTGCACAAGCGGTTGTGTTCCATTAAATTTATCAAAATTTGATTTCAATTACTTTCACTTTTCAGACAAAACTTTTTTATTCTTTCTTGCCCAATCAGTATTATTAATCAATCATTCATTAAATTCAGATAAAAAAAAACAGTTACAAGAATTTATTACATCGGTCAACTTGTTAAAAATTTCCCCCAGGGCAGAAAAGAAAGGAATCTTTTTGAATTTTAATAACGATATAATGTCAGACCTACACAAGAAATTATTGGCCAAGTACAAGGGAGATCTCAGATTGCCTGACAACCCGTTATCACTCTCAGATCATTGCTCAAATTAGCTGGTTAAACTCATGACGGACGAAGATAAAATCCTCAAGGAGGTAAAAAAGGCGGTACAGGAAGGCAAACCATTGGACAAATTCGGAGCCTACTTAAAAAACTTCCAGAGGGACATTCACGTGAAAGAAGGACTGTTATTCAACGATAACAAACTGATAGTGCCGGCTGCATTACGATCACCATTCCTGTCACTCCTTCACGAGACTCATCCAGGGCAGTTCGGGATGAAAACCCTGGCAGAAAACATCTGGTGGCCACACCTATACAGAGAGATATACCATCATGGAAAGAATTGCACTCAGTGTATAATGGCCGGTAAGAAACTAAAAGTGTTACTAGGGACGAACAAGACTGAGAAATTACCAATTCTGACCGAACCAAATGAAGAAGTAGATTTAGACTTTGCTGGCCCATTGGACAAGAGTTGGGGTAACGCAAAATACCTTTTGTTATGCATTGATCGCTTTTCAAAGTTTCCGACTGCAAAGGTAGTAAACAACACCTCGACTTCTTCAACTTTAACCTTCATGGCAGATTACTGCCATCTTCACGGATTTCCAAACTCCATTAGAGCTGAGCATGGGTCATGTTTTACTTCGTTTGATTTTAGAAACTTCTGTGAGAAGAACAACATTAATTTAATCCTATGTACGGTTGGTGATCATAGATCCAATGGAGTAGTAGAAAGACTCATTTACACTGTCAAAGCTAAGCTTCTGGCAATGTCGTTCAACGATCCAAAACCATCTTTTAATACGGCTATTGATAAGATTATTTGGAACATACGCTCGACGAAACAATCATCCATTGGATGCTCTCCTTTCTCAAAATATTTTAATAGATCTCCCAATACGTTCTGGAAATCTTTGGTCTCTCACGCAATTAGTTTAGATAAGGGGAAATCAATCTTAACGAAGGACAGAGCACAAGACTGGGGGGCTGACGGCGCGTTCGAAGATGGATATCTGGAAGACAGAGCAATAGATGAAAGAGGGTACGAGAGCGACCCTGCGGACAAAGTAGATAGAAATCTCCAGCGAGCCCCACTGTCAAATCCTTTCAGCCAAAGAGGTAACTGGTTTAGGAAAACAGTTAACAGGAGGGAAGGCGAACCGTATTTTAAGCCACTGGGGAGTAAACCTTTGTCAGACACGAAACATACGGTCACATTAGACAACGGACATGTGATACGAAAATCTGACTTAGCTTTTAACAAAACCCAACCGGCAGCTCCTAGGACATTCTCGGCAAGACCGAATTCGCTAATTAATCGTAATGATTTAGCAGGCAAGCGAAAAAGAAACTCCCCTTCCAAGAGACGAGTCTCAAATATAGGAGGCCCTTCGACGAGTTACACACCAACGGGTGGAAATACTTGCAAAAAGAGGAGAACATTCATCACGAGCTCGAAAGGTTCAAAATTCGACTTAAATAACCTAGATTTAGATCAGCCAAGGAGTACCGTAAAAAGCCAGACAAATACTCAGACAACGGTCACTCTACCAACGGGCACAAGTGACGACCCAATTCGAGTGGATAGCTCTCCGGAGAAGACAGTGGAGACACCAAAGACCCCGATACCCTCAAAACTTCGTGCAAGAAGAAACCCGGGCCCCCGAAATTCTACGGTGATAGGCGGTTTATCGACCAAGTGACGCTCGGAACGGAGACCATTAGTGCAGTAGACTCCGATGACGAACCGCTAATTACGTTTTCCGGCGCAAAGAGTCCAAAACAAAATTTATCATACTGTACGACGTCCCCCTCAGATTATCTCACACCCATTGATGAGATCCCACGTCATACGATCTTGGTTGCTGAAACCACACAAGACCAACTCTCAACACCCTCCTCTCAGGCGACAAAGACCGCATGGGTATCGCCACCATTAGTAGAAGTTACCAGTAATACCCAGGATGACGACGGCAGTGATATATCCTCGGGTATCGATACCGATGTAAGAAGAGAGTCAGATAACTTCCATGCTAGATACAACACTACGGTCATGAACTCTGAAAACTTTTAAACTATGGTAACATGATATGTTACGTATTTGCTTTAGCTTTTATCCATTGGACAACCCAAAACTTTTTTTTATTACCTAGTTAGTGAGTTAGTTAGTTTGTTTTAACTGTACAAATGCTACATTACCCCAATTGTACATATCATTTTGTACATTCAGTGTTGATATCTGTGTAAACCTGTAAGTAGCCTGTATATATTACCATATAATCACCTCCATTGTAATTTGTACTCTCTGTAAAAATCCATTGGTGCTAAAAGTGGCTACGTTTTTTTTCTTCTTTGGCCCTAGTGGAGCGAGGGGAGATGGAGTATATGTGTGATATTGGCTACATCGATGAGCGGGCAGATATTAATTTTTGTGCAGTGGGGAATGTTGTGATTCAGTATTTTTAGTATGTTATAAGCTTGACCTCTATTATCTAATTACGTACCAGTCAATGTTAACTCTACGAAGTCCAGTGGACTTCGGTTCACTAGTTGCTCTTTTTAGACTACAGTCAGTTTCAATTCAACCAATACTTTTATTCTCTTTTAACCTTAGTTAGATACAATAGTTACCAGTGGTACATCTTAAATCTTTATTAGCGGGGTGGAATATCTTTTTAGCAGGTACGATAGGGGGGGGGGGGGGGGGGAGGAGTTTGGTAAGTAGATCTCTATTTGCTGTTTAGGGGGACGATTCCCTATGCGCGTAACCGTTGCATTAGTTTTATATAAGTGTGGCAAATTGTTACTAGATACCTATTTGTGGGGGAATAGTTAAAGAATTCTCTCGTTTGTTTTAGAAAACTCTTCGTTCATGTATCTCATTTTAGCCATGACCAAAAGTAGTTTTTGGTCAAGCATTTTCTATTTCGTAGGATTTGCTTAACCATATCTTTAGATCCAAAAACGTTGGACTGAGTTAATTACTAAATTCTATGCACTTAAAGTTGATCTTCGAACTTTTTTTTTTATCTTTGATTGTTAATGGACAAATAGTTTGTTGCAGTGTCTGTGGTCTCTGCAGTATGGCTACAGCTACTGCTTCACAGTGAACAACTTCATCCTCGCCACTGCCCTCATCTGGGTCATCTCCGGGCTCACCCAGACTCCGGAACAACTGGGTATGGACGGGGAAAATTAAATGTTTAATTGATAGAGCAGAGCGTGCAACTCTTTTCTTTGTTGTGTCCCATTTTTTTAACAAGCTCGTTTTTTTTTAACTCTTAGTTTTTTTCAATTCTTCTTTGAAAAACTGGCTTAAGATTGTCAAAATAAACTGAAATTTTGCATGGTGAATGAATTAACTCTTGTAAGCAGATTTGTTCTTCAAGCAGAACAGACAATTTCTTCCACGTAGTCCGTACCGTACGTACATCGAACTGTAGCACAACTACCACAGGTGATTATGGAAAACGTACCAAGTGAAAAGAACGTTAGGAGCTAAAAGATACAGCTCATTTCTACAGGAGATCGGAACTTTAGTTGCTTAATGAGACCTGTCCATGTTGTCTTATGTGATGTTCAGGTCTGGATCCGGTGGTGGAGTTCGATCAGAAGGACATTGAGGAGAACGAAGAGCAGCACAGCAGCCACGCAGACCCCGACAGAGGTAGAAGAAAAAAGAACACCTCTTACAATTAATTCAAGTCCTGGGTCAATAATTCCACTTTGTGTATTGACAGGCGCGACCAGAAATGCTTACTATTTTTCTAAATAAGGACACCTAATTCAATCGAATCGATTAAATTTTTTAAAATTGATAAACACGTGACAAAGAACAGATTTATCAACAAAATGAATTCATATAAAAATGGGCTAAATAACTCAAGCTGCTATCAAATTTTACATCGCAAATTTCAGTTTGAAATAATTGGATCTAAATTTTCAGAGATTCAAAAATTTGTAAATCTTATTTGAATATTAGACGCAGAAGTCAACTGTTTGATGATCAGTTACTTTTTTGTTGTGTTCTGGCACCGTTTAAATTTTTGTGATGCAATTTCGTTCCAGAAAATCTATTGGACAACTTGCTCTTCATAAACGGAGGGGCTTCCTCGCCATCCGGTGGAGGGTCTCTGGCTGCTTCTGGGGAGCACTCTGGAATCTACAGTGGGACTGGGTTTGCCATCCAGACTCAGGCGTGGAGGAAGAGAGCAATCAAACTAAAGGAGGCCTGGGAGTTCCCCGGAGTGGGAGAGGTTAGTCATAATAGACTCAGATTGAATCATACTAACAATCTTTGGATTCTGAAGAGGAGGAGCCAAGATTTTCTCCCGAATCTGAATGAGGGTCTTCATAGTATTTTGCGAGATTTCGCAAAATCACTTTAGTCAATCTTAAGAAGGTCTCCAGATTTTTTGACAATTTTTTGGGAAAATCTCCTCTTGAAAGTTGTTGCTGAATATGCGATAATGTTTCGAAAGACCATCCTTCCCTGTCCCTTAGTGCTTGCTGTACATGATCCATTTTTTATTCGAAAAAAGTCACCTACCCTTTTTTTTCTAAATTACTTTTTTTGACACCAAATGAGTGCAACATATCTTTCAAAAACTGCAATATGATGAACTCAAATTTTGATGATACTGCTATGTAAAATCAACAACAAAGATATCCTCTGAATTTGGACTATTTTAGTTCACACTTGCATACACAGCAGTGAAGGTGGTGATCTATTCTTTGAATCTGTGGCTGCCATATTACATCACACAGATATATGACACCAGCAATCTCATCGCTATCAGATACGCCGCATTCTTCGACCTAGGATCCATAGCAGGTAGCGAACCAAACTTACGGCTATTTCCCCCTCCCCATTGGAAAAATTACAGTATAAAAATTTATAAAAAATGCTTCATCCTGTAAATTGTAGTTTGTAAAATAGGATCGAAAATGTGCGCTTGGTCACAGGCGCGGATCTAGGAATTTCTCAAGGGAGGAGAGGGGGGGGGGGGCGGAATTTCAAAAAAAAATTTGAAAATTTTGACGACCTTTTTTTTAGGTCGACTAAATTGATTTTCTTCTGAGCTCTCCCAATCCACTATAAAGACCTTAATTAGACCACATTTTTTGCGCCGCAGGCAAAATTTAAAAAAGGCATTTTTAGGCCCTATTTGGAAAATTTCGACCAAAAAATCGCGTTTTTTCGGCGCGCGCTCCCCCCTAAAAATTAGTGTAGATTGGCGCCGAAGGCACCTTTAGAAAAATTTTAAAATCAGTCAGCCGAAAATGGATATCTCAAAATAGTACAAAGGGGGAATTCCTTGGGTCAGCAGGGGGTCGAATCCCTGAGGGAAAAGGGCGTCTGCCCCCCCCCCCCCCCCCAAATTCGCTACTGCTTGGCGATACTGTCAGGTTTTATTTGATTGACATGTAATTTTAATGGCAGTTATGAAAAAAATAATTCAGTAAAACTAAAAAGAACCTAGAAGAAATAAGCGATTAATTGAGTGTAATCAAAGATGGGTTTTCAGGTGGGATTTGCCTGGGTCTGATTGTGGATCGACTGCACTACAAGTCTCTTCTGTTATCCACAGGCATCATCACATCCGCCTTCGTCTGTTTCATATTCTGCAGTGAGTGGGAAAATAAATGGTTTAATTTAGATTGTTCACTTGGTTAAAAGCATTCTTTTTCAGCCAATCAGAATTCAGCGGTTTGCTACACAATTTTAAGGAAGGGGTGGATGGGAGGGATATTGTTTGTTCTCAGGAGCCCAAGTTCCTGCACTTTTTGCAAATTTTGACTTCATCTGAATGTTTTACGTTTTCTTACTCGATATTTTTATAGTCTAAGAAAACCATAATTGTATTTCACTTTCAGTAAATAAATTTTACCTCGGAGAAAACACCTCACAGCAAATGAAAAATTTGGAAACGTTCTCAAAAAAAGTGAAATTGAAAGCTCTAAAAATAATTCTAATTATGATTAGCGATACATTTTTCAGAATTTGCCGAGTCTCAGTTTGTAGTAGCTGTCCTTCTCACGCTCATAGGTAAGAGTGACTGACCTTTGACCTTGAATGACGGCTTGGCCATGCGACCCCCCGTACCTAGAAAATTATTTAGTTCGTCCAAGAAATTCCTAACTTCCGATCGGTAATTCTGGTCAGAAATTCTTTGTTTCTACTCCAACTTTTGATCAGAAATTTGATTTAAAAAGTTTTTTATTTGGGAAAAAAATGGCCCACCTTAACAAATGCTTTTATCTAAAACAAATCATATAAAATTTGCAATTCATGAAAGGGTCGAAAAATATTTGTAATGTTTCGAGAAAATATTTATGTGAGACCAGGGGCGGATTTGGGGGGGAGGCGGGGTGGGGGGGGGCGGACGTTTTCACTTTCTCAGGGATTCGACCCCTGCCAACCCAAAGGGTCCCCCCTTTGGTACTTTTTAAGAAACTCATTTTTGGCCAACCGATCCTAAAATCTTTTTTTAGGTCGACCAAATTGATTTTCCGAGCTCTGCCAAAGCACCAAAAAGAACCTATTTTGGCCGCAGGCAAAATTTTGAAAAAGCATGCCAAAAAAGACTTGTAGGTTCTTTTTGGAAAATGTTGACCAGGAAATCGCGTGTTTTTGGCGCGCGCTCTCCCCTCAAAATTACTATAGATTGGCGCCAAAGGCGCCTTTAGAAAAATTGTATGGTACATCACCAAAAATGGATATTTCAAAATAGTACAAAGGGGGAACCCTTTGGGTCGGCAGGGGGTCGAATCCCTGAGAAGAGGGGGAGGAGGAAGGTCCGCCCCCCCTAAATCCGCCCCTGACTAATATGATTTTCCTAGCTCGGCCATATCACAATGAAGGCTATACCTCGATCAAGTTCTCAGCACAGCAGATTAAATACAAAAACAGAAAAAAAACTCAGGAAAAGCTCTCTCCCCTAAAAAATAGTGCTCTCTTCCCTAAAAATTAGTATATTGGAGCCAAAGGTGCCTATGATACAATTTTAGGGTTAAAAGGGACAAATTTTAGGGACAATTTTAGGGACAAAAAAATTGTGTCCTGAAATAGTACCAAAGAGGGGATCCTTTGGGTGGGCAAGAGGTAGAAGAGACAAGACTGCTCGTAACAGGGCGAAGCTCTGCATGTTCCGACTGACTTTTAAGACCTATGGAACAGTAATAACATGAAAAACATAAAAGTAATAGAATAAAATATAAAAAATTTCTGAGTTTTTTTGTGAAAAAATCCCCCACACGTAATAATAAGTTCAAGGTAATAGATTTTACTAGCTATTAACAAATCAATTATGGCATATCAGCTTCCTCGGGCCAATATGGAACGATTTCTGACACTAATTAAATCTCGATTAAGCGTTGATAGCGCGAAATATATCGCGCGTTAATTGTCCCAAATTGACCAAAATGGCAATCTTTAAACCCCCCACAACTTAACGAAAAAATATCACAGATGAAATATATTTTTTTCAAATTTAAGCTCAGAAAAACAATAGCTTTTGAATGATAATTAAAAATTTCATCAAAAATGTGTAGTTAAAATTCAAAGTTTGTCTGAAGAAAATAAAAAGACACCCCAAGCACAAGTCCTCCGTTACTTTCGTTACGAAAGTCGGAATAACAAGGACAAATTAATCAATAACTAATTTTTGTAGCCAAGAGTGAATCTCAGTTTAATAATTGCAAGGTTCATGCTTTGAGTATATACAGAAAGATTTTGAAAAAATATTTTATACCCATTGTAGATAACGAGTTCTTGAGTTCAGATGTAAAAAGATATGTCACCTCCAATAATTCTTTGTAAAGTTCTGGGGGTTTGAAAATTGCCAAGTTTACCATGTTCTGGACTAAATTATGCGCGCTTTGAAGAGCTCATTCATAATGCTCAGATCGTAATGCGCGTGGCAAATTATCCCGCACAACAAAATCGTTCGAAACTGAATTGAGGCTAGCTAATCGGATCGGTCTTATTAATTTCGTATGACTCAAAATTTTACAATTTGATATTTGTCCAAAATGCATAGGTTTTCAGTATTTTTTTCCCAAAAACTATTCGATATAAGTTAGGGGACGGTATTCACACATTTCGCCCCCTCACGCATTTCACCCTCATAAATTACTGGCACATTTTGCCCCTAAAATGTACATTAAGAAAGCGGCGTTAATTAACTGTGTAATGCGAGGACGAAGTGTGTGAAATTATTAGGGGCGAAATGTGCGAGGGGCGAAATGTGCCACTAGATTTAAGAGGGGCGAAATGTGTGTGGGGCGAAACGTGGGACATTCTTAAGGGACAGTCAGAAAATTCAGGGCTTTGCCCTGATATACGAGCAGTCTTGTTACATTAAAAATTATTGTTTGTCATTTTTTCAATATCTCGAATCAAAGTTTCTGTGTGGCTGAAACGTAGGGAGTTGTTTGAAAGCAAACCAAGAATTATTAACTGACGCCGAATTTAAAGTATAATATTATTATAATCAGTCAGTCTCTTTAGCGCTTGAATGTAAAATAGACTAAAATCATAATGTTTGTATAAATCATAAGCTGTTGATTGATAAATACTAGCCTACTTTTGAAGCAAAAATTAGTGAAATCGTTTGTTTTCTACCACTGGTTTTTTCATCCATTAACTGCTTTTTTTTTATCCTTTTATCCTTTTTAAAATTTCATAGTAGTCGGAGTTTTCTGTACTACATGCACAGCAACCAGTAATTTAAGCTTTATTGTCGCCTTAATCACCAGCTAAAAATCTTTTCATCCAAAAAAAAAATTTTTTTTTTCCAATCTAGATAGCCTGGTTTCACATGGTATAGTTTGTCATATGTTTCCATGAATAACTCTGGGTGGGTGTAACAACCTGCTCTTCGGTCCCATCCGGAGTGAACTGGGAATGCGGATGAAGGTGGGGGGAGGGGGTCACATTCTAGAGGTCAACGAGACACTCGCTACTCTAAGTGGATTGATGGAGGGCACCGCAACTATAGGCGCCGCAATCTCCCAGGTCAGAACCTCACTTAAATCTCAATTTGATTTAATTTTGTTGAAAAACCTCATAATTAACAATCTCATATTGATTTACTTTGGTTGTTTTTTTACAAGGCCAGAGTTTGGTATCTTTGCAACACTTCAACCAAGGCCCCTATGTGCCCCACCCCAATAAAGAACTCACTCATCGGACAAGCATATGTTAATTTTGTACTTAGTAATGACGAATATCTTCCTTTTTCAACGGAGTAGGAGGAGGGGGGGGGGTTGGGGCTGGGGGTATAGTTAACAATATCGCAGAGTTTGAAAAGTGAAGTCATGTTCATTGCACAACAAATTTTTACTGTTGAGATTTCCCTCAGTTGGAGTAGGGAAAACAGGATTGTAAAAATCGAATATTGAATTAAATATGATATATAAATAGATAGAATAGAATATTGTATATATGAATAACGATTCCAGATTGAATGTATTGTTTTGAATAACAAGAATGTTTTATCGACTAGATTTCACACTTAAGGCTTTCGCAAGTGACCGCTTCAGGTTCTCAAGTGACAAACAATTTGGCTGGTGAGATTTGTCCTTGAATCAATTTACTGCACTATAAGTAGATAATTAAGACATAGTTAAATAAGACATACATAAGTAAATAGAATAGAATGAGGTAACGAAGGTCGCCTCATGACAACTGTTATAATTAGTATACTCTCCACTTTGCCCTTCTGTGACCATATATGGCAAGTGTATGTTTCAGTGGGCGGTGGCCCTGTTGAGAAATGGCGGCAATTGGTTCGGCATCACTATCTTCCTCCTCATCATTGTTAGTACTATGTTTCATACTGTTCAATACCATTTTCTTTTCAATTTTAGAAACCCCTGCTCTTGCTCTTACCACCCCTCCCCCCACAAATACACATACACACACACCCCCCCCCACACACACACACACACACACACACACACACACATACCCGTGCTCACAAAAACGCTCATGCGATATTTGGCATGGAATTTTTTTATAAAATTCATTTTGAGCAATTGCTATAAATATTGGTTGGCATGCAAGCTAACATCAGCCAATTACAAGCAAAATTGTCTCTCATTGTTCCAACTTTCGATACAGAAGTAACGGAATATTTGTGCTCGGGTGGGTTTTTTTTTCTTCAGACAAATTTCGACTTCTTAACTCGCCATCGTTCGAAAGGTATTGTTGTCCTGAGCTTAAATTTGAAAAGATATTTCACCTGTGATCATTTTTCGTAAAGTTATGGGGGTTTAAAATTTGGCATTTTGGCCAATTTGGGATAATTAACGCGCGATATATTTCGCACGTTTAACGCGTAAGCGGAGATTTAATCGGTTCTAGAAATTGTTCCAAAATGGTTGAAATAAGCTTCTTTGCCATAATTGATTGTTACTAGCAGCGAAATCTATTCTTTCGTACTTTATATGGCGTGGGGGGATGATTTTCTTTTAAAAAGTTCAATTTTCAGAAAAAAAATTTCATTTTGTTTTATTACATTCAATTTTTTCAAGTTATTATTGCTCCATAAACCTGAAAAGGCAGTCGGAACATTCAGGGCTTCGCCCTGATACGAGCAGTTTTGTTTTTTAAAAATCTACTTGTGCGAATAAAACACAAACTTAGCAAAATAGAGGTCCATGTAGCAAGATGTTATACTCTATCGAGCTCTTTCTGCACTCTTTAGATGTCAACTGTAAGCGTGAATCTGTGTGTGTTTGACCATTTTTCCAATTTTGAAAACAATCAGTTTAAGTATGTCCAATGATATATATAAGTGGCAAACTGATAGTTTTGCCGATTATGCATAAGTCGGATTAGGTTTAGAAATTGAATCGACCGTATGAAAGGCAGCAAATGTTGCAAGTGTTTCAAATAATTTGCAAAATTTTGCACCAGTTATAACTCATTATAGTCTATTATAAACTGAGTCGAGGTCCGCGTTTTAAAAGAACGGCGCGACTCAAACTTGGCAATTCCAGACCGGTGCGACTTTATATTGGCAATTTCAGACCGGCGCGACCGAAACTTGGTAACTGCAGACCGCGACCGGCGCGACCTTAAAAAAAACCACCGCGAACAGCGCGACTAAAACACCGTCGGAAACGACGCAACCTAAGGTAATGGCCCGACCGGCGCGACTGAAAATTTTCAATTTCAGACCGGCGCGACTGAGAATAAACAGTCGCGACATGCGCGACTGAGCAAAATACCAAAATTATTTTCTTAAGTCGAGCCGTCGGTCTTATCTTAAGTCGGGCCGCTTAAGTGTTTTCTTAAGTCGCGCCGTCAGTCTTTTCTTAAGTCGGGCCGCTTAAGTGTTTCCTTAAGTCGCGCCGTCAGTCTTTTCTTAAAACGCGCCGCTTAAGTCTTTTCTTAAGTCGCGCTGCTAAAGACTTAAAGCGGCGCGACTTAAGAAAAGACTGACGGGCGACTTAAAAAAAGACTTAAGCGATGCGACTTAAGATAAGACCGACGGCGCGACTTAAGAAAACACTTAAGCGGCCCGACTTAAGAAAAGACTGACGGCGCGATTTAAGAAAAGACTGACGGCGCGACTTAAGAAAAGATTGACGGCGCGACTTAAGCACGCGGCAGACTGCGAAATCTCGTCTGAAAACGTTAAGCGGCGCGACTTACCAAATCTTTTCTTAAGTCGAGGACCTCGACCCGGGAAGGAATTTTAATGGATTAAAATCTATTCAAATTTCTCAAATTGTTTTTCTCAAGTTGTTTAACGCGGTCTGTTAAGTTTTTAAAATGTATGGAATGCATGGGAATTTGTATGAGAATGCTATCATTTCCCAAGAAGACATTGGTAGGAAGCGGTCAAAAACTACTAAACCGGTTGCCGGCTTAAGACTGTTGGTGGGTCCAATAGGGAAAGTGTTGTTGAGAAAGTGTTGTTGGCCCGGGTTGACAAAGACAAACAATACAAGTCATATGTCAACCACTTTTTGTCAACCCGGGTCAGTTTATGAATTTTTTAACAGATGTTGAGTTGTGTGGTTGTGACTGTTGTTCCGACCTACGAGGATATGAGACGTCTCTGGACCAGATACAAGGAGAAGAAAGAGGTGGACGAAGACATGGACGACTGTGACTGAGAATGAATTGAGTTGAAATTATTGCAAATTGGAAGCACTAACTTCGTGATTAAGTTTTTCCCATTTAATTAGAAGATAAAACACTTCAGAAGATGAGACGAACAGCATTTTTTTGGTTGTAGAGTCGAATTCTTTTTAAGAGTCAAAAAAAATTAGGACTCTAATTCTTTTTCGGTTGAAGAGTCAGTCGTATGTTAGATTTGTTAAGAAGTCAATTTATGTCCTCTGATTTCGTTTTATAAATATTTCTTAGAGCTAAGTCAAATGTTTGAAAATTATATATATTTAGCATAGCTGACCAAAAATATCAGGGGAAACACATCCGTAATCAGTTTTTTGGATTTTTCACTTAATTATGATATTAAAAAATTGTGTTAGAAAAGGTGTGGAACGGCGTTACAGAGTAGATTCATGAAAAAAAAACTTGGTTGGTTCAAATAATCTGTTATATAATTGACTTTTTTGAGGCTTCAGGCTCACCTCAATCAAAATTATGTAGCCAATTTGATTTTAGCATTCAGTTATTAAATTAAATCGATGTGAACACAAAGACAATTGCAATTGCATTCAAAATCAAATCAACATATTCGCGAACACTCGTTAGAGAATCAGAAAGATTTTAAAAAAAAATTTCAAAAGATCTTTACCAGAATCTGCCAAAAAGTCTATGACAATTCGCCGACAAAATGTAGTCCAATTAAATTTTCTTAAGTTTAGTAATTTGTGGTTATTTGAATTGAAGGTTCTTTTGAAATTATGAAGCGCATTAATAATGATTAGCGTTTTATTGTCGTTTTATTGGGACCCGCACATCATTCAAAATTATAGAAGCAAATTTCAATTTTCAGAAGAAAAAAATTTCATTTTGTTTTATTACATTCAATTTTTTCAAGTTATTACTGCTCCATAAACCTGAAAAGGCAGTCGGAACATTCAGAGCTTCGCCCTGATACGAGCAGTTTTGTTTTTTAAAAATCTACTTTTGCGAATAAAACACAAACTTAGCAAAATAGAGGTCCATGTAGCAAGATGTTATACTCTATCGAGCTCTTTCTGCACTCTTTAGATGTCAACTGTAAGCGTGAATCTGTGTGTGTTTGACCATTTTTCCAATTTTGAAAACTATCAGTTTAAGTATGTCCAATGATATATAAGTGGCAAAATGATAGTTTTGCCAATTATGAATAAGTCGGATTAGGTTTAGAAATTGAATCGACCGTATGAAAGGCAGCAAATGTTGCAAGTGTTTCAAGTAATTTGCAAAATTTTGCACCAGTTATTTTATTATAGTCTATTATAACCCGGGTCGAGGTCCGCGACTTATGAAAAGACCGGCGCGACTCAAACTTGGCAGTTCCAGACCGGCGCGACTCAAACTTGGCAATTCCAGACCGGCGCGACTTTATATTGGCAATTTCAGACCGGCGCGACCGAAACTTGGCAATTGCAGACCGCGACCGGCGCGACCTTAAAAAAACCACCGCGAACAGCGAGACTCAAAACACCGTCGGAAACGGCGCGACCGGCGCGACTGAAAATTTTCAATTTCAGACCGGCGCGACTGAGAGTAAACCGCCGTGACATGCGCGATTGAGCAAAATACCAAAAAAAATTTCTTAAGTCGCGCCGTCGGTCTTATCTTAAGACGCGCCGCTTAAGTTTTTTCTTAAGTCGCCCGTCAGTTTTTTCTTAAGTCGCGCCGCTTGAAGTCTTTAGCGGCGCGACTTAAGAAAAGACTTAAGCGGCGCGTTTTAAGAAAAGATTGACGGCACGACATAAGAAAACACTTAAGCGGCCAACTTAAGAAAAGACTGACGGCACGACTTAAGAAAAGACTTAAGCGGCGCGACTTAAAAAAAGACTGACGGCGCGACCTAAGAAAAGACTTAAGCGGCGCGACTTAAGAAAAGACTTAAGCGGCGCGACTTAAAAAAAGACTTAAGCGGCTCAAAATAAGAGAATACTTAAGCTGCACGACGTAAGAAAAGACTTAAGCGGCGCGACTTAAGAAAAGACTTAAGCGGCGCGACTTAAGCAAAGACTGAAGCGGCGCGACTTAAAAAAAGACTGACGGCGCGACTTTAAAAAAGACTGACGGCGCGACTTAAGAAAAGACTGACGGCGCGACTTAAGAAAAGACTTAAGCGGCGCGACTTAAAAAATACTTAAGCGGCGCGACTTGAGAGAATACTTAAGCTGCGCGACTTAAGCAAAGACTGAAGCGGCGCGACTTAAAAAAAGACTGACGGCGCGACTTAAGAAAAGACTGACGGCGCGACTTAAGAAAAGACTTAAGCGGCGCGACTTAAGAAAAGACTTAAGCGGCGCGACTTAAGAAAAGACTTAAGCGGCGCGACTTAAAAAAGACTTAAGCGGCGCGACTTAAGAAAAGACTGACGGCGCGACTTAAGAAAAGACTTGAGCGGCGCGACTTTAGAAAATGCTTCAGCGGCGCGACTTACGAAAAGACTGACGGCGCGACTTAAGAAAAGATTGACGGCGCGACTTAAGCACGCGGCGCGACTGCGAAATCTTGTCTGAAAACGTTATGCGGCGCGACTTACCAAGTCTTTTCTTAAGTCGAGGACCTCGAACCGGGAAGGGATTTTAATAGATTAAAATCTATTCAAATTTCTCAAATTGTTTTTCTCAAAATGTTTAACGCGATCTGTAAAATTTTTAAAATGTATGGAATGCATGGGAATTTGTATGATAATGCTATCATTTCCCAAGACGGCATTGGTAGGAAGCGGTCAAAAACTACTAAACCGGTTGCCGGTTTAAGACTGCCGGTGGGTCCAATGGGGAAAGTGTTGTTGACAAAGTGTTGTTGGCCCGGGTTGACAAAGACAAACAATACAAGTCATATGTCAACCACTTTTTGTCAACCAGGGTGAGTTTTTTAATTTTTTAACAGATGTTGAGTTGTGTGGTTGTGACTGTTGTTCCGACCTACGAGGACATGCGACGTCTCTGGGCCAGATACCAGGAGAAGAAAGAGGTGAACGAAGACATGGACGACACTGACTGAGAATGACTTCAGTTTTTCCCATTTAATTACAAGATAAAACACTTCAGAAGATGAGACGAACAGCATTTTTTGATTGTAGAGTTGCATTATTTTTGGAGCCAAAAAAGAATACGACTCTAATTATTTTTCGGTTGAAGAGTCAGTCGTAATTTAGATTTGTTAAGAAGTCAATTTCTGTCTTCTGATTTCCGCCGTGACATGCGCGATTGAGCAAAATACCAAAAAAAAATTTCTTAAGTCGCGCCGTCGGTCTTATCTTAAGACGCGCCGCTTAAGTTTTTTCTTAAGTCGCCCGTCAGTTTTTTCTTAAGTCGCGCCGCTTGAAGTCTTTAGCGGCGCGACTTAAGAAAAGACTTAAGCGGCGCGTTTTAAGAAAAGATTGACGGCACGACATAAGAAAACACTTAAGCGGCCAACTTAAGAAAAGACTGACGGCACGACTTAAGAAAAGACTTAAGCGGCGCGACTTAAAAAAAGACTGACGGCGCGACCTAAGAAAAGACTTAAGCGGCGCGACTTAAGAAAAGACTTAAGCGGCGCGACTTAAAAAAAGACTTAAGCGGCTCAAAATAAGAGAATACTTAAGCTGCACGACGTAAGAAAAGACTTAAGCGGCGCGACTTAAGAAAAGACTTAAGCGGCGCGACTTAAGCAAAGACTGAAGCGGCGCGACTTAAAAAAAGACTGACGGCGCGACTTTAAAAAAGACTGACGGCGCGACTTAAGAAAAGACTGACGGCGCGACTTAAGAAAAGACTTAAGCGGCGCGACTTAAAAAAGACTTAAGCGGCGCGACTTGAGAGAATACTTAAGCTGCGCGACTTAAGCAAAGACTGAAGCGGCGCGACTTAAAAAAAGACTGACGGCGCGACTTAAGAAAAGACTGACGGCGCGACTTAAGAAAAGACTTAAGCGGCGCGACTTAAGAAAAGACTTAAGCGGCGCGACTTAAGAAAAGACTTAAGCGGCGCGACTTAAAAAAGACTTAAGCGGCGCGACTTAAGAAAAGACTGACGGCGCGACTTAAGAAAAGACTTGAGCGGCGCGACTTTAGAAAATGCTTCAGCGGCGCGACTTACGAAAAGACTGACGGCGCGACTTAAGAAAAGATTGACGGCGCGACTTAAGCACGCGGCGCGACTGCGAAATCTTGTCTGAAAACGTTATGCGGCGCGACTTACCAAGTCTTTTCTTAAGTCGAGGACCTCGAACCGGGAAGGGATTTTAATAGATTAAAATCTATTCAAATTTCTCAAATTGTTTTTCTCAAAATGTTTAACGCGATCTGTAAAATTTTTAAAATGTATGGAATGCATGGGAATTTGTATGATAATGCTATCATTTCCCAAGACGGCATTGGTAGGAAGCGGTCAAAAACTACTAAACCGGTTGCCGGTTTAAGACTGCCGGTGGGTCCAATGGGGAAAGTGTTGTTGACAAAGTGTTGTTGGCCCGGGTTGACAAAGACAAACAATACAAGTCATATGTCAACCACTTTTTGTCAACCAGGGTGAGTTTTTTAATTTTTTAACAGATGTTGAGTTGTGTGGTTGTGACTGTTGTTCCGACCTACGAGGACATGCGACGTCTCTGGGCCAGATACCAGGAGAAGAAAGAGGTGAACGAAGACATGGACGACACTGACTGAGAATGACTTCAGTTTTTCCCATTTAATTACAAGATAAAACACTTCAGAAGATGAGACGAACAGCATTTTTTGATTGTAGAGTTGCATTATTTTTGGAGCCAAAAAAGAATACGACTCTAATTATTTTTCGGTTGAAGAGTCAGTCGTAATTTAGATTTGTTAAGAAGTCAATTTCTGTCTTCTGATTTCCGCCGTGACATGCGCGATTGAGCAAAATACCAAAAAAAATTTCTTAAGTCGCGCCGTCGGTCTTATCTTAAGACGCGCCGCTTAAGTTTTTTCTTAAGTCGCCCGTCAGTTTTTTCTTAAGTCGCGCCGCTTGAAGTCTTTAGCGGCGCGACTTAAGAAAAGACTTAAGCGGCGCGTTTTAAGAAAAGATTGACGGCACGACATAAGAAAACACTTAAGCGGCCAACTTAAGAAAAGACTGACGGCACGACCTAAGAAAAGACTTAAGCGGCGCGACTTAAGAAAAGACTTAAGCGGCGCGACTTAAAAAAAGACTTAAGCGGCTCAAAATAAGAGAATACTTAAGCTGCACGACGTAAGAAAAGACTTAAGCGGCGCGACTTAAGAAAAGACTTAAGCGGCGCGACTTAAGCAAAGACTGAAGCGGCGCGACTTAAAAAAAGACTGACGGCGCGACTTTAAAAAAGACTGACGGCGCGACTTAAGAAAAGACTGACGGTGCGACTTAAGAAAAGACTTAAGCGGCGCGACTTAAGAAAAGACTTAAGCGGCGCGACTTAAGAAAAGACTTAAGCGGCGCGACTTAAAAAAGACTTAAGCGGCGCGACTTAAGAAAAGACTGACGGCGCGACTTAAGAAAAGACTTGAGCGGCGCGACTTTAGAAAATGCTTCAGCGGCGCGACTTACGAAAAGACTGACGGCGCGACTTAAGAAAAGATTGACGGCGCGACTTAAGCACGCGGCGCGACTGCGAAATCTTGTCTGAAAACGTTATGCGGCGCGACTTACCAAGTCTTTTCTTAAGTCGAGGACCTCGAACCGGGAAGGGATTTTAATAGATTAAAATCTATTCAAATTTCTCAAATTGTTTTTCTCAAAATGTTTAACGCGATCTGTAAAATTTTTAAAATGTATGGAATGCATGGGAATTTGTATGATAATGCTATCATTTCCCAAGACGGCATTGGTAGGAAGCGGTCAAAAACTACTAAACCGGTTGCCGGTTTAAGACTGCCGGTGGGTCCAATGGGGAAAGTGTTGTTGACAAAGTGTTGTTGGCCCGGGTTGACAAAGACAAACAATACAAGTCATATGTCAACCACTTTTTGTCAACCAGGGTGAGTTTTTTAATTTTTTAACAGATGTTGAGTTGTGTGGTTGTGACTGTTGTTCCGACCTACGAGGACATGCGACGTCTCTGGGCCAGATACCAGGAGAAGAAAGAGGTGAACGAAGACATGGACGACACTGACTGAGAATGACTTCAGTTTTTCCCATTTAATTACAAGATAAAACACTTCAGAAGATGAGACGAACAGCATTTTTTGATTGTAGAGTTGCATTATTTTTGGAGCCAAAAAAGAATACGACTCTAATTATTTTTCGGTTGAAGAGTCAGTCGTAATTTAGATTTGTTAAGAAGTCAATTTCTGTCTTCTGATTTCGTTTTATAATTATTTCTTAGAGCTTAGTGAAATGTTTGAAAATTATATATACTTAGCATAGCTGTTCAAAAAAAAATCAGGGGAAACACACCCGTAATCAATTTTTTTTGGATTTTTCAGTTAATTATGATTTAAAAAAAATTAAAACACACCAAATTTATAATAATATATCGAAATGGAAGTCGTTAGAAAAGGTGTGGAACGGCCGTTACAGAGTAGATTCATGAAAAATAATATGGTTGGGTCAAATAATCTGTTATATAATTGGCTTTTTTGAAACTTCAGGCTCACCTCAATCAAAAATATGTAGCTAATTTGATTTAGCATTCAGTTATTAAATTAAAACGATGTGAACACAAAGGCAATTGCAATTGCACTCAAAATCAAATCAACATATTCGCGAACACTCGTTAAAGAGTTAGTAAGATTTGAAAAAATTTTTTTCAAAAAATCCTTAACAGAATCTGCCAAAAAGTCTATGAGAATTATGTAATCCAATTAAAATTTCAAAAAATGCTTAACAGAATCTGCCAAAAAGTCTATGATAATTATGTAATCCAATCAAAATGTAGTCCAATTAAATTTTCTTAAGCTTAGATGTTTGTGGTTGTCGTGAATTGAAGGCTTTTTTGAAAATATGAAGTACATTAATAGTGCTTAGCAATTTTTTATCGTTGTATTGGGACCCGCACATCATTCAATATTATAGAAACAAATGCGCGTTAATCTCCACACAAATCGTAAGAACAATCAAAATTCAAACACGTAGATTAACGAGCATTTTCTCTGCAACATAACTCTGAGATTACAGAATACAACTTTTTAAACATGCCTAATCACCGGTTACTTCGGCCATATTCAACTGACTAACCCAAAGCAAATTGCTCTTTTTAACGGTCAGCCTTAACCAAGGCTGAACCGAATTAGATTGAAAAACGCTTTAAAAAGGTCAAATGGGTATTTAACCACTCAATTATACATGTAAAAAGGTTAGCATATGGGGGGATTGGAACCCACGCCACATGACAGTCTGTATAGTCGGCTGTATGTTAGCTTAGGCCGCTCGGCCTTCTGTTCTTATACGATGTTACTTTAAAGCATTTACAACTCGCTTGCATTTGCGCTGCAACACCCTCCGCCCTGAATCAAGGAAGAACGAGAGCGAGCATTACGGTCGGGCGGGTCAGTTGCGCATCCGTCCTTGATGTAGTGCAGTTTGACGATACGTGCGAGTGAGCAGTGTCCACGAGGGCTGTCAGGCTTTATGACCCGAAATAATTAGCCAGTTTTCAACTTGGCATCTGATTGTACTATGCCCTCTTATTGAGGGAAGGAACGTATTCCCGCATCCAACGTGTCCATATTGAGTTATGGTCCAACGCGTACCGCTTCTTATGGTCGAAGTTTTTTTCGAAACTCAGCGGCGGAGAACTCGCTGCGTCTTGATTAAGTATAAATTGATTCAAGGTCAACGCCTCTAAATTTTGCGTGTTGCAAAAAACGGCTGTGATCGGTCGTGCGATTAGTTAATGCTCAACAAGGCAAAGTGTGGTTCCAAGAAACTCCTCCTCAGTTGCTCTTCTGTTGCCTAAGATATCATACAGCACTCGCTTGACACTCCTAGCTGACCACTCTCAGGAGCTGCTATGGTGCGGTGCACTGTGTGGGTTGAGTTTCTACTTGATCCCTTTCTGGACGAATTCAGCGGGAGCGAGCTTGTTTCAACTTTCAATGCATGCTAAGAGCTCTGAGTCGAGCCCCACACCGTGCAATAAACCTCTTTAAGCCCAATACACAAGAGCGTGTGTCGAGAGAAGGGACCAGCTCAATGTGTACTGCTCAAGTGGTGAGGCAATTAAGTAAAAATCCCCATATCTTTTCCGTACTTCTGCGGATCGGAACTAAAAATGGCTCAAAGTAGTCTTCATCTGTGCTAGAGAAAGGAGGCTGCTTGTAACGCAACCTTTTAATGGACAGATCAGACATGATAGGAGTTTCGATCTGCGCTTTGCGTTTTTGGCACGTAACACAGTATTTCGAAGTAACAGCCGCACGCATGTAATCTAAGCCTTGGTAGAAATTTTTAACGTGCAAGTGTCTAATCAAAAACCGAACAGCCGCTTGACGTGCATCAAATAGAATGGGATGCTTGCTGTCGAAATCGGTATTAACCAAACAACCGATGCACCCAGTTGAGCGAAGGATGCCAGCTGGTCCTATGAACGGCGAATACTTGGCGATCCAACTAATCCTTGTGATAACTTTACCGGAACTAAGTAGTTTAAGCTTGCTAGGGAATGTCTCACACTCGGACAGGTAAAAAAAATTCTGCTCGGCAATGTCCATTCACACGTTTCGGTTATTTCCAATGTACTAGACCGGAAATTTCTATGGGATTGCAACCATCTCAACAAAAATGCTACTACCCGTTTGTATTTCACAATTGAGTTGAATCTTCTCCATTTTCCGACTGGAAGATTTTTGTTTGTCAAATAATCGACAAAAAAATTTGACGACTTTGTCTGACAAGTTTCGATATCACTTGAAGGTCCTTTGAGTCTGATCTAAACGATAACCTTTGTATCGGGCTTGAACGTCCAGTTAGTCGTCCTCACTATACTAGGGTTATTAAAGTAGCTGCTTTTCTTAAGGGCTTCCGAAGAAATCTCTCGTGTGCCGGCATTAGCTGGGTTATGACCGCTAAGTATGTGATGTCACTGATCAGTGGTGGTAGACTCCAGAATCTCACCAGTGTGATTAACAACAAAAACGGGTAATTATTTACATGATCCAAGCCACTGAAGAACAGTGGTACTATCTGTTGACATTAAAATGTCTAAAACTTTGAAAATGGGATCTTTCAAAAAATCTTCTCTAGGAAGGTTTGCAAGAGGAGCCGTTTGAAGCTCTAATTTTGGATTAGATAGCCCTTTCATCGCACCAGGCGAGCTTTGCCAAACACAAAGCCTGATTCAAGTTTATGCGAACTAGTAAGTCGCACAAGAAAGAAAGAGATGGCGCCGAACATGTGAAAGTCTATTCGGTCAAAAATTTCAGTGAAATAGCTACGAGGTATTGTCAGATAAGCTAACAAAGGAACTGCTCTTTGATTTCCTCTGCGAGATCCTCGTCCCAGATTTGACCACTGATCCGCAAAAAAATTTTTTTGATAGAAGGCGAGCCTTCACACACAGATACGGAACTACTAATCCAATTGGATAAAAAAAAGAGAAAACAAAAGTCAACACAGTACGCTTAGTGATCGATTTGTCTAGTGGACAATCAACCCCTCTAGTAACGACTATGGTATCTTCTATGTGATCCCATTTAATAACGAGGTTATGCGATGAGTGGTCTGGACTCTTACAAATAGCCTTAACAGAGGAGTTGGTCTCACGGTTGTCCGGATCAAGAGCAGTTGTTACATCGAGCACATTGCTGACACACTTTGTCAGACGGAGCCCACCTAATTTAAGCAACGAGACTAAATCCTTACCGAATTTCATGGCGTCATCACTGTTTTAAAAGAATCCAGATAGTGATCCATATAAAACTGGAAAACAGCAGAAGCAGCTTCGTGCTACTCAGCTTGATGATCAAATGCAGTCGTCTGCAGAGCAAACTCGCACAAGTCGGGAGCGCCGAAAAAGTGAGGCGTGTAATGGTGAACTACCAAACTTCATATGGGGTCTTCCCGCAACAAAAGCAAAGAGAAAATTGATCTTCTTCTCGGATTCCAACCTGTAAAAGCATTCCTAAGAGTATAAAATTTAGGTTCTGAAGGAGATCCGGGCCAACCAACAAAGACTTGTTCAAGGAAGCGCAATAACAGTTCGATGCACCATGGAGGAGTAGGCGCTCCTTACCGGGTTTGTTCGAGTTCAACACTGGATGATGCGGGAGATACAACTCACAATCGGCACATGATTTGGGATCGTGTGCGTTAACGGTAATGACATATCCTTTTTTGCATACCATCTCTAATTCTTTCGGTGTATTTCTCACGCAGCGACGGATCCTTATCTAACCTTCTTTTAAAGACTTTAATTGGGCTAAGGGAGAGTATTAGTTTTTTTGGTAAAATCAACTCAATATCATTCCAGTGCATTGGTACAAGGTACCTCTCACCTCCGTGAGAGGTGCATTTCAAAAAAAAATCGTCAAAGCGCGTTTGTTGTTGGTGGACTGGGCATCTACTTGCTTGAAGGCTCGATACGACTCCAAGTCTTACCAAGTCTTAAGTTTGTCAGCTAAAGAGTTGTCCTCGACAACTCAATTGAAGCAAGACGAGTTTGAATTGAAGGACGGCAGCAACGGACGTACAAGCCAAGCTATCGGAAGACGTACAGTTCACGGTGAATTAGAGTCTTCTCCGTAGAGAGGGTACTTTACGGGTCTTCTTGCGTGGCAGAAATCTTTCCAATGATTATTTCAACTTCCTCATACTTATAAACTATAGGTTTTATCGGAGCCAACTGTGGGTATTTTTCCTGTAATTCAGGAGTACCTATGCTATACGATGCAATACGAATATGATCTTTAACCTCAGCTCGAAAAATAAACAAAAATTAACTTTTATTTGTTTCGGCGAAAACTTCAAAACTTACTTGATGAGTTTCATCAAGCTCGTGGAGGTGAATCGACTTATGGTGAGTTTAACGGGATTAAAAACCAAATTGATACGTTTTACGAGATCAACAGATACCCATGAAAGCGTAGAAGCACTATCGCAAAGAACTAGAGCATTAGTATTCTTCGCATTTGAAGAAACGGCGAGTGATACAATTGGCAAGATGCCTTTAGTTGACTACTGGCTATGAAAATCGCCGACGGCGGCGTTAATCGATACATATTTATTATTTGCCTTAACTGACGACGGGGAATTTTGGAGGAAACTTTTTTCAGTTACTTGCAAGAGCACGTTTTGAGTGCTTTCTCAATCTGGCT